CCGAATGTGAGAGATGATAAATTTGTTTGCATTTTTCACTCGCGATAAAAGAATGCAAAAATTGACTTGGAATATTATCGATCGCGATAAATCTCGTAAAAGAATGAAAACGAATAATCATAAATGAGAATTTCCGAACCCTGTTTAAAAATAAAGTTTCGTTTGCTCTTAATTTAGTGGAAACATAATTATAATGAAATCCATAGCCGCGGTGTTATTGCTTGAAGAGGAGAACGAGTCCCAGATTGTTGATGCGGAAGTTGAAAGGCGGAGATTTAGGGGCATGTTTGATCTTTTTCAGATGAGTGAAGAGTCATAAACTCATCATGAACTGTATTACTCACCGCTCAAAGCCAGTGAAATTATAAACGTTGTTTGAGCACTCCACAACATTTGCATTTACTATAGAGTGGAAGATTTGAACGCAAATGAATTCCATTTTGAAAGCCGTCAGGAGGGGCAGAACAAAGCTTATCCTTCCATAGCAAATCGAATTCGAGACAACATACGCACCTCTTTTTAAAAAGTTAGTAAAAATAAGTGCAATAATAAAAGCATCTTTTTTATGTAACTTCACGTTTTATGTATGTATGTAGGTATAAACATACCTCTATTAATTTTATATACAAAGAATAAATTGTATTCAGTCTATTTCACAGTCTTATTTATAGATAATGAAAACAAAAACGCCTGTGCTTCCTCTTTGAAACCCTCGCGCAATATCCCTTTTGGTTGTCATTATTTGAGCCAATTTGTCGTATTGCTCGCGAAAACACAGAAATCGAGAAAATTCGTTTATGATGACTTTTACAATCATGCACAGTATCTTTTATTTAATTTTTTATAAAATTTTATTATTTAAACCCACGAAAATAACAATCGCAACGTTCACCGTCAACAAATTTGCAACTTAGAAAAACGGAACTACGATCGAAATGTAGAATAGATCTTCTTCTTCGCAGAGGAGGCCTTCCTCTTCCTCTGTTACCAGCATCGCGGCCCGCGTTGAATATTTTCAGAGCAGGAGCGTTTCTGTCCATCCGAACGACATGGCCAAGCCAGCGGAGCCGCTGAATTTTAATTCGCTGCACTATGTCTATATCGTTGTAAAGCTCATACAGCTCACCGTTAAATCGTCTGCGATAGTCGCCATCACCAACGCGTAAAGGTCCGTATATCTTTCGCAGAATCTTTCTCTCGAAAACTCCAAGAGCCGCCTCATCAGATGCTTTCATTGTCCATGCTTCCGCGCCATACACCAGCACAGGCATGATGAGTGACTTATAGAGTGTGATCTTTGTACGACGAGAGAGGACTTTACTTCTCAATTGCCTACTCAGCCCAAAATAGCACTTGTTGGCAAGAGTGATTCTCCGTTGGATTTCAAGGCTGACATTATTATTGGTGTTAATGCTGGTTCCCAAATAAACGAAGTCGTCTACTTTTTCAAACTTGTAACTGTCAACAGTGACGTGGGTGCCAAGACGCGTATGCTCTGACTGTTTGTGTGCTGACAGGAGATACTTCGTTTTGTCCTCGTTCACCACCAGACCCATTCGCTTTGCTTCTCTATCCAATCCCGAGAAGGCAAAACAGACGTAGCCCTTGTTTTTACCGATGATATCGATGTCGTCGGCATACGCCAGCAATTGTACGCTCTTATAAAGTATTGTGCCTGAGCGGTTCAGTTCTGCGGCTCTTATTATCTTCTCCAACATAAGATTAAAGAAATCACACGAAAGGCAGTCCCCTTGTCTGAAACCTCGTTTGGTATCAAACGGCTCGGAGAGGTCCTTCCCTATTCTGACGGAGCTGGTGGTATTGCTCAACGTCATTTTACACAGCCGTATTAGTTTCGCGGGGATACCAAATTCAGACATCGCGGCATAAAGGCAACTTCTTTTCGTGCTGTCGAAAGCGGCTTTGAAATCGACAAATAGATGGTGTGTGTCGATCCTATTCTCGCGGGTCTTTTCCAAGATTTGGCGTATTGTGAATACCTGATCTATGGTGGATTTTCCAGGCCTAAAGCCACACTGATAAGGTCCAATCAGCTCGTTGACGGTGGGCTTCAGTCTTTCGCACAATACGCTCGATAAGACCTTGTAACCTATGCTTAGGCCAATTCCGCGGTAGTTGGCGCGTATGGCGGGGTCGCCTTTCTTGTGGATTGGGCAGAGCACACTTAAATTCCAGTCGTCGGGCATGCGTTCATCTGACCATATTCTGCATACGAGCTGATGCATGCACCTCATCAACTCCTCGCCGCCGTACTTGAATAGCTCGGCTGGCAGGCCGTCAGCTCCAGCAGCTTTGTTGTTTTTCAGCCGCGTAATCGCTATTCGTACCTCGTCATAGTCAGGCGGTGGGACAGCTACTCCATCATCATCGACTGGGGACTCGGGTTCGTCTTCCTCACTACTTTCAGCGCTGCTATCATTCAGTAGGTTATAAAAGTGTTCTCTCCACAATTTAAGTATATTCTGGACATCGGTCACTAGGTCGCCGTTGTTGTTCTTACAGGAGTTCGCCCCGGTCTTGAAACCTTCCGTAAGTCGCCTAACCCTCTGGTAGAATTTTCGGGCGTTCTTCCTGTCGGCCAGCATCTCAAGCTCTTCGCACTCACGTATTTCGGCCTCTCTCTTCTTATTGCGGCAAATACGTCTCGCTTCCTTCTTCAGTTCCCTATAACGGTCCCAAATGGCTCGCGTTGCGCCCGATCGCAGCGTGGCCCTGTAGGCGGCATCTTTTTTCTCTGCGGCTTCTTGACATTCCTCATCGTACCAGTTGTTCTTTCGGGCTCGCTGAAATCCAACTACTTCTTCGGCGGCGGTACTTAATGATCGGGAAATGTGGTTCCACTGCTCGCGTACGTCGGATTGTTGAAGAGTGCTCTCAGAGAGCAGGTGTGTGAGTCGAGTGGCGAATAAATTGGCCGTCTGTTGTGATTGCAGCTTTTCGACGTTAAGCTTTGCTTGCATTGTTGGGCGCACATTTTTTGCTGCACAGAGGCGGGTGCGTATCTTGGCTACAACAAGATAGTGGTCGGAGTCGATGTTTGGCCCTCGGAGTGTACGTACGTCCAAAACGCTTGAAGCATGCCTTCCGTCTATCACAACATGATCGATTTGGTTTCTCGTTTTTCGATCTGGAGACAGCCATGTAGCTTGGTGGATGTTCTTATGCTGGAACCTAGTACTACATATTACCATATTTCGGGCCCCGGCGAAGTCGATCAGCCTCAGTCCGTTATCGGACGTTTCGTCGTGGAGGCTGAATTTTCCGACAGTGGCGCCAAAGATCCCTTCCTTGCCCACCTTGGCATTAAAATCGCCAAGCACGATTTTGACATCGTGTCGGGGGCAGCGCTCATATGTACGTTCCAAGCGCTCATAGAAGAGATCCTTGGACGCCTCATCCTTCTCTTCCGTCGGGGCATGGGCGCAGATGAGCGAGATGTTGAAGAATCTAGCTTTGATGCGGATTGTGGCTAGACGTTCGTCCACCGGGGTGAACGCCAGTACTCGGCGACGGAGTCTCTCTCCTACCACGAATCCAACACCGAATTTGCGCTCCTTTACGTGGTAACTGTAGTAGACGTCGCAAGGCTTCACGCTTACTTTACCTTGCCCCGTCCATCGCATTTCTTGGATGGCGGTGATGTCAGCCTTTGTCTTCCCGAGGACATCAACCAGCCGGGCAGAGGCACCTTCCCCATTAAGGGTCCGGGGATATTCCAGGTGCATACCCTTAAATCATAGTCCTTTATACGTTTGCCGTGGTCGTCATCAGAAAAAGGGGGTCTCATCCGAGGCTGTTTGCTTCTTTTCATTGGGCGGGGTTTTAACGTGGCGGGACCCAAACCCAGCGCACGCGAAGTTTTACGCCTTCTCACTTTAGCTCGCTCCCAAACGGGTGTTTGGTTGCTACCCAGAGGATACGTGGATATAAATATCCGGAGGTTGTGAGCTGCGATGCACAAAAATCGCTTCTGGCCACTCCCAGGTGAATGGCAGTCAAAAGTTTTCCACTTCTGCGCACGGAACCATCCTCCATGTAGAATAGATATAATCGTAAATTTCGAAGATTGATCGAAAGGAAACGGAACGCAGAATACCAAAGTTGCCAAACGGAGAAAATTTCGATTCGAGTGATTATAATCATCAATATATAATCTGTTCCAATAGCAGTCCGGTTTACAGGATTTAGTCAGAACTTACAGGAAGTCATTCCTATTGACATAAAACCTGTAAGTGGGAACACATTTGAGAGAGTAACTGAGCAACTGTTCTTAGTCAGAAGTTACAGGATTTAGTCCGGAGTTTTTTTTCCTGTAAGTTCATGAAAAGTGTCAAACGATCAGCTGATTTGCATGTGCAAGCAAAAACAAACAGCGGTGAAAGCAAAATACCTTATATTTGTAAAAAAAATGGAAGTAAACAACGAAATGTTTGAATATGTATAGATTTTAATAATTATTTAGTGATATTTCAGCTAAATCAGTGTTGTACAAATGACATGTAAACAAACCGACTGACGTTTTTACAGGAAATAGTGCTTTTTGCGTTCCTATGCACTTCTGCATCTGTTCTCCTTTTACTCTCATTTGAGAGAGTAAAATTGTAGTTTGACAGTTCCACAGGTTTTAGTCCGAAGTTCAAAGGAACAGACTAATATATATAAGTGACCTACTAGCTCTCTCAGTGAACGGTTGCATTTTTTGATTTTGCTTATAAACGTTACACACTTTGTGTAAAACACTTATATTACGGTTACGGTTACAGTTATTTTCCTTATTCAACTGACTTTATATATTTTTTTGTTTAAAAATAAAGATTAAAACCAAGTACGTAAATACATATTTGTGTGTTCCAAATGGCCCTGGGGGC